GGAATTATCTTATAGCCTTTTTTTCGTGATTTGAGATGTGTCTTGTATTCGTTAATTTGAGTTGTCTCTTGTATTCGTGAATTTAACTTGTCTATAATAGTCGTGAATTTTTGGGCTGTTCTTCGTGAATTTGAGTTGTGTTTTTTACAAGTAAATTTGACCTGTCTATTCTATTCGTGAACTTGACTTGTCTATAAAAATCGTAGGTTTTTTGATTGTCCATTTCTTCTTGAAATTGAGTTGTCTATTATATTGATGAATTTGATATGTCTACTTTACTCGTGAATTTATGTTTTTTTTATAATTTGCGTTGTTTATTCTATTCGTGAATTTGACTTGTCTATAATAGTCGTGAATTTTTGGGTTGTCCATTTCTTCATGAATTTGAGTTGTCTTGCTTATTAGTGAATTTGAGTTGTTTATTTTTTTAATGAATTTTAGTTGACTATTTGCAAACAATATAAAATGTTGCAACCTACTGCTATGGAAGTTGAGCTATCAACAAAGCATTCAAGACATATTAAGATAAAATATTAATATAACACTTTAATATGTAAAAGATATTGTATATTCAACTTGTATCATAGTTTGGAGACCTTTCTGTTGAAAATGTGTCAGGGTTAAATCGTATACATATACATTCACAGTGAGTTAACTGGAGTGCGGGTATTAGTTACCCGCACTCCAGAGCATGCCCATTGATTGGCTCATTTTTGCTTGGGTTTACATATTGTGACGGCAGAGAAAGGGAAAGCGACAGAAATATCATATTCAGATGTTCGTTCATTGGTTCATTTTTGCCGGGGTTTCATATTGTGACAACAGGAAACGTGTTTTTATGTTTGACTATGATACAAAAGAGAAAAAACACCAAAACACGAGGCAATCTGATTAATACTCGGTGGCTACGCCCCCTCGCACAAATCAGATAGCCTCGTGTTTCGGTGCTCTATCTATTACATAATAATACACATTTGTCATTTCAAATTTGTTAAAGGCAGTGATTTCATATCACTTTCCGTCTATGATTGAAGCGTAATAACCAAATTTGTACTCACTGATGATTACAAACCACTTAAAAACCATGAATCATTAATGCCCCCTTGAAATTTAATACTATACTGAACATGTGTGTTCCGGGATACAACGGACACCGTAATTTAACTCATAATATGCAAGCGTAAAACAAACTGTGTGTATAATCTACTGTTATGTAACGGCGGCATTGAAAGAACGAACGAACACAAGTATCTTTCGAATTCGGAGAAAATTTAAACTAGTAAGTATATCAGATGTAAAAATAAAACTTACTCTACGTATAACAGGCAGGAAGAAATAAAACTAACAATCATTAAGTTTTATACACTGAATTTATTTTAGTTTGATGGTGTAGGAAGCTTTAAGCTTTTAGTCTAGGAGATACTACAGAATCCGTTTCTGGAATCAACCAGTACTAAATTAAACAATAAGCGTAAAGCTTCTTGTTGAAGGAATCCATGCTGAAATATTATTTGAATGATTGATTTAATTAACCAAGTCTGGAGATGTGCCGTGTATAAGAAAGTTAACTATATTTAAGTGTATCAAGTAAAGTGGAAAGAACTACAGTAAGCTTTTAGCTATAGCTTTCAGTTTAATCCACATTTTCATGATACTGTATTAAATTTCTGTCGAGGAAATCTCTTAGAAATGTAACATGATAACAAAATAAAATTTAATATGTTAAAATCAAGTGTTGGTATGAATTTTATCAAATAAAGTCAACTACTTATGTAGTTCTGGCTTCCATAACTTTATATGTCGCTTTTATTTTGACGTTGCGACAGTAAACAGGTCTAGCAATTCTATAAAACCTGTTCGCTGAAGTATCTTTAGCTACTACTTATGAAGATGTAAAACAAAGCTGAACCTGTAAGCATGTATTTTAGGCAACTTGAAAACAAAAGGTTAGGGATATTTTTACTTCATGAGTTTATTAGATTAACTTCACAAATTCGCAACATCATTTCCATTATTCATTAATTCACATTTACAACTCGTGAATTCACGATTTTTACCATGGATTCACGTTCTGAAATTTATGAGTTCAAACTTCGTGGATTCATCGTAAATTCGTGAAGTTGAAACCGTGAATTCGTGAAATTGAAACCGTGAATTCGTGAAGATAAAATTCTATAATACCAGTCTTTCGTAATTTACACAGAAAGAAAACTTGGTTTACGGACACAATACAAAATTCAAAGTCACAGTGTGAAAGCTATTTAACAGAAAAGAACATCACGAGTTCAGTCCCTTTATAAAAAGCTTAGCATCGTTTTTAATGATTTAAAGTCATTGTTTTAGCAAGCAAAGCATTAATAGTGTTAGTCACATCCTAGGCAATGTGATGATTTTGTCACAATGCGGAGTACTTGAACACATTATATATTTCCTCAATGGCCTATTATTCCCCAGAAATTATTTTATTCCTATGTCTCAAAACCTTTTCTTTTATTTCTGACCAATTAGCTGAACATATTATTTGCTTCTGTTGCATTTTGGATTTTAGTGTTTCTGGCAAGCCGACGCAATACCGCCGACATTACCAGTAATGTTTTTATGGCGACATTTTGATGTTTAAAAAAAAGAAAAATGAAAGAACTCAATCCCTGACCTACTTTTTGAAACTGTTGCCTTAAACATAGACGTTTTGGCCTTTCCTAATTGTCGCCTCCATTGTCTGCATCATATGCATCTTAAACATACTAAAAGTGAAGCGTCAACGAATATAACTTTCCTCCACATATAATTAACCTGTTACTAATATAAAGTTTTTATTTATTTATCAGTGCCAGGAATGAATAATGTTGTCTATGACTGTATATAAATAGTATAGGTATTTTTTCTCTCTCTTTCCCTCTTTTGTCTCTAATTGTACATTCAATTAAAACAATTATCAAACACTTTGCGCGAAAGCCACTTAAGCACGAAATGATTATTAACATAACCGGAAATATCAATAATTGACAGGAAGTCATTTCGTGACAAAAACAACTCAACTGTACTATTATGGAACGGGGAAAACAATATCATTACTTTGTGAAAGACTTACGTTTTGAAGTGAAACAATCTGTCTTTATTACAATATTTATTTTTGAGTCAGTACATGAATTGCATATTACAGGAGGCACAGAGATGTCATGTGCACTTTTTGATTTATCGTGTTGCAATTATAATTATGTAGTGGGAACAAGATAATATCTTGAGTACAAGAACGAAAGAAAACAAACAGCACAATATAAAGATGTGCACATGTAACATAGTGACCCCGAGCAAATTTATTCTTACAGTCGAGTTATGTATAATACTTGTTAAACTAACATATACACATTAAATATGTTGCTATTTTACTCATAGAGAGAAAAGTGTTTTGGGATTAAGCGGGTATTAAGGAACGTATAGCTTCACAAAATGAGCTAATTAACACGAAATAATGAACTGAATGGAGTTGTATTTAATTGCAGCATTGATTTAAGACAATCAATGCAAAGGGATTACTTTATCACCCTTATGTTATTGTTATATATAATAATACTTTTTAAATCAATCCAATAAATTTCTTTTTGATTAATATATATTTTACCAGGAAAACACTTGCATTACAAAATCAATACTTTACACGCCATATCATTAGATAAATTTACGAAATCAATACAGTACTTTCTTAAGATGAAAAGTTAAATGTCAGCTTAACACGCAAATCAAAAAGAGTTTATGGACACGGCGTGTATATCAGAATTTGACGCAGCTGAATTTACTGACTTATAGAAAATAGTATTTGTGTTATTACATAATATATATATTCAAGAAATCTTAAGTATACAAGTATTTCGTTCGTCACATGTTCAACCTTTAATTCTTGGGAGAATTATAGAGTGAGTCGATTTTCAACATCCATCCCCTCGAAGAATTATCTTAAATTGTCGCCAGAGTCTGATTCTATTGACTTGTTAATTGTGAATACATTATAGCATTCATTTAAAATTCTATCCCACTTTGTTTCTGTCCGTGTAGTTAACGACAATTAATATTGAGTATATAACTAATGTTTTTTTAAAGTCATACCAGCTTAATTTTAGGTCGACTTCATTTCTGCAATAACACAGTCGGTTAAGTATTTGCCTAATATATGAGAGGTCTGTGGTTTAATCACTACTGTTTCTAATATTTTAGACATACTCTTTCTTTATTTCGTAGTATATTTTAACAGAAATGGCAGAATTGTCTACACGGATATGAAGCAACTTCGAAACACTGTTTTGTCCAGATTTATATTGTATTTTACGGCATTAAAATGACATTTATTTATGCTAATCGAATGAATTTTCCCATATTAATTCTTAAATAACATTATTTAAAAAGATATATAGACTTTACCAGAACAAGTGCAAAACATATAAAACAAAACGAACAACATAAAAAGTCATTGTTGAATATTGAAAATATAAATAAGAGAAAACATGGACGCGTTTTTGATCTCACATACAACATGTGGGACATTTAGAAACCAAAAACCGGTAGTTTACACTATTGCAGTTAAACGCTCAGTATTATAATTTCACAGACACAAATTAAATTAAACCACATCTCACTGCATACATCTCACGAAACTTACTGAAAATCCATCGAAGATTAATATATGTTGTGTTCTTTGACCGTATAAGCAATATGCAATTGACAGGTTGCATGTGTAATAGAAAAAATGTTTCCAAAATCTTGAATTTCAACAAGCCACATTTTGATTGGGCTCAACAGGACACTTTTATAATGTACATTTTGTATATATATTTAAAGTACAAAAGGACTGCATTTCAGGATTTGAAAGGTTTTTGTTTTTTTTTATATTTATGAATATCATTATGGTACACATGTACATGTAAAGTGTCTGCATACATTATTTTGTATGCAGATATTTACTAATTGTACAATAGCAGTACAATATATTATGTATTATGCATTAATTACCTATATGTGTCTCGTTACGTCACATTCCTATAAATTGGTATGTTTATGTAAAAATGAACTGTAAAAGTTCAAGTAAGATATGTAAATCTGATGATTTGTTTGTAAAACAGTTAGATAAATAAAAAGGATTCTATGTATTTTAACACGTCTATTAATTTATTCGAGCATTCGTAAATTTGTTTTGTAGCAACACGTTATGTTACCGGAAAGTTACAAATAATGTTATATATTATAACGTTATATTAATCATGAAAAAATAAGCACGGTCTTGGGTTAGTCATGATCATACTAGTGAACCAGCGTTCTAATAAATACATAGCTTACATGTTTTACCACATCTTAAAGCGGCCTTTAGCTTTCTTCTTCTGTTGGAAAAAACAATTTTGTGTGGTTTCAAACTATTTCAGTAATTTTATCTTGGAAAGGAACATCATATCACCACAAAAAATGTCCCAAGAGCTATTTATAACGCGTCTGTGACGTTCGTGTCTAAAAAAAGAGCATCGGGAAACGAATAGAAAGCTTTTCTAATTTAAATATAGGGAGAGCCGACTGATAGAGTTATCGAGGGGTTTCCTTATTGTTTATGTACCTGTATTTCATCATTGGCAAATTACTTTTCCGCCTTTACTCTTTTGATTTGACAATTATATGAAACGATTTATCTGATTTAATTAAAAAATAATATATTTAGAAAAGCTGTAGGCCGCTTTAAAGCTGTAGGCCGCTTTAATTGTCAACAAATAAGGCCGTGAGTAAAATGTAATTCTACTGATTGTATTCGCCATTTTGCTTTTTAATATTTCATTAAACATTTCCGGCACGTCTGGTAAGGTCATATCTACCTACGCTAGGATATTCGATAATCAGTTTGTTCAACACAATCAGTCTCGCAAAACATATCTAAACGTTCTTCAGAAACACCTGAGGAATGGTCTAATCGTGAATCCACAGCGAGTTGTGTACTTGTATCAGCACACTTAGTTTCATTCACAATTTCTGAACTTTCACATTCAGCTAGCTCATTTGTTCTTTCGTCACTTTCATTTTCAAAAACATTACTAATGAGTGTGTCGGTCATATCGTCTGTTATTTTCTCATTAACACCACTAAGGAAAGGATCATCAAATAAATAAAGGTCTGACTTGCACATGTTTCCCGGTACACCGTATCGTCTTAAACTTTTAAAACCCTTTGTTTGTTCATGCTCTTCTTGTAAGTCTACTTGCAAGCGCTTCATTGTGTTATTAACAAGAACTGTTCTTCTTAGAAAAGTCTCTGGATCGTCTAAGTCTTTCAGCTTCTTTATTGACATTTTCAGAATCTTTTTCCGGTCGTCTTTCCGTTCCTTTTGTGTATTTAAATATGGTGAAACTCGTTTAGGTGATACATACTCTTCTTCTGATGTAGTAAGTTCAAATTTTCTTTTGATTCCATGTTTGGGACTGGCATTCAAACTATTTGTTTCAGGGCCCGTTTTATTGCAGCCTTCAACCACGTCTTTGGAATGCGTTTGATCTGAAATGATAAAGGTATGCTATCATTCTTTATTGAGAATACATTTTCGTCAATGTCAATTGCATTTATATGACATTTGAACGTATTATCTACAAAAAAGGAATTATTCCCTTTTACGGCATACATTGTTTCTATATAGGTCATGGAATCAGTGCCCGAGTGTTTAATATCAAATTGGCAGTCGATATTATGATATTATAGAAAGTATAGCTTCAGACACAATCATGGTTCATTTAGGCATTTAAATATGTGTAACTGCTGAGATGTCAATGTTTGTTTGTCAATTGATTTGGAAAAAAGTTATTCTAGTGTAAGTGTTTTAACTTTCATGTTCTTTCTACTTAATATCTGCCATACATATTTAATTACAGACTGTTATATCAAAGTTTGTCTTGTTCTGTTTGAATATTATTTCAATGCGGGCGATATGTGTCATGTACATATATAACCAAAAGGTCAAAGGTGAACATTGTTGTAAATTATTGACACAGATCGATATAAAGTACCAATAACAGTGATAGCTCTATTAGACAAGGTTAAGTTTATTATAAAATAAAATTGTAGACACAATCTTATAAACACATTATTGACCATAAGGCAATTATTGCGGCTATAGCTACATTATGGCAATAGTGTCTTAATCTGGCTTCTACAGGTTTATATTAAACAGAAATTAATTATCTAAAATAAAGCTACCATTTTACGAGGCGTTAATGGAGAAAATACGCTTCTCTTGTGCACATTAATACATTACTGGTAACTGATTACTTCCGATGATGTTGTTATAGACTGCATTTTAATTGTATCCTGCTTCCCAGTTCTACCAGTATATATATATATATTATTTCAGGTTTATATCTATAATGTTGTTGTAACATGTATGCAAATCAAATCTTGTTGTTGTTGTTGTTGTTTGCGATTGCATATGCGTAAGTACTACAATATGCATGCATACGTTTAGCAATAAAGTTCAATGCCGTTTAAGAAATTTAGAGTAAACAATTTATGTAATAATAAAAATAATCAATTTCTTCTATAATGACGAAAATGCTGAACACAAGTGCGCGTTTTATAGGAAAATGCTATAATATCCAACGAATGCAGTGAATTGTCGCCATAATCAGGAAATTAGCATCGTATCGCAAACCTTGGGCGATTTTGACCCCCCCCCCCTACCCCATCCCAACCACACTTAGCTACTTAGTGCAACTAAATATGCCAGTAATGTTTTCAGAATTCTTTAAGGACTTTGATTTTTACAAATGGGCGATGACAAACAGTGTTACTAACCTGAGGAAGTTACTGGTGTTTTATTTTCCGATTCCTTTGAAAAATTATTCCGCCAATCTTCAAAACATGTTTTTTTATAATTTTGATACTCAACTGCTTGTAGACGTTCATTTGATATTTCACTGCGGTAGAATATCGATCGACCATTTTTGTCGTCTGTTTGGTATTTGTTTAAGCATTTGCAACACATGTTTGGACTTAAATGTTCATTTTCAGCACTTAATCTATCAAAACATATTGTCTCACAACACTGTCTGTCTATTTCTACATTATCTGTACTAAATGAATGAAGAGATGTCACGGATAAAACACAAGTCATGTTAAATATATCCAACATATACACTGAAATTTTCAATGTCGAATGATCAGAGGTTTCTTTTTCTTAAACTTTAAACAATCAACGAATGCGCATAAAAAAAGCTAATCAAAGAAGTAGTAACATCTGCTTGTAAAATATTAGCTATTATGACAGCGCGGCACGCGATACACAGCACGTCTTTTCACTTCTGCTAGCAATCGTTAACTGTCGTCTGCGTGAACTAACTGTACTTTTCGCGATGCATGACGAGAGATCTACGGGATAATTATAATAATTATTAGATACGGCAGGTCTGTATAGTACGAGAAAGAGATAAGAGAATGCGGAAAACACTGCAGTATTTATTATACATTAAGCGTTAAGTATAGATAGGAAAGTTATGCATTAAAGATATACCACTTATTCTTAAATTTGAAGTTGAAGTTTTAATCATACATTGCTCATGATTATTTAACATCGTCAGGGGAAATGTGAAAATGTAGTTTATATAACAGGTTGTTTTTAATATTTTTAACCCCTGCCACGCTTACTTTGAGAAATGGACGCGTCCATTTTTTTCAATCTTTACATAACAATCATTTTAGGTTAAAATTTCAAAACAAATGGCTGGTCGATATTAGGAACGCAGAACCTAATGAATTTATGTAAGAATTGTGTCAAACTTTAAATTTAAAACAACCCACTGAAAGGTTAAGTGAATTTTATTGTAAAGAAAAGAAAAATTGGGCTACCAACAGTATAGAACCTGCTCTGACAGCATGGATGCTCGTGCTTTATTGGTAACTAAGGCGAATCACTTCCGGATTTCAATAGATAAAGGGTAAAAGACGAAAAGATCCTGTGACCGATAACAAGGTCAGATATTTATCGGATCTTTTCTCCCTGGTGTAATATTGCATTTTGTAACGAAAAGTTGCTTGAGGCAAATCCGCTTAGTCATTATTGTAATTATGTAATGTCTATGAACTTATAATTATAAATAAGACAGTCCGCATATATCACCGAAATGTCGTTTAATAACCACATAAAGAAGACCTAGAATACGTTGTTATGAATGGATGAGTAAACGATTAATTATGAAGGTGATATGAAGAATTAATTAGCAACAACTTTATATTTCCCATATATATTTACAATGATAATAGATTTAATACTCTAGAAAATAAAACAAGAATTTCGGAAGTCAAGAAAGATATTACACTTTATGTAAATAATTTACTTTTCTTATTAGTGACATTTTTCAGAGCGATTTAAAACGATTCGGGATTATTTACTTCTAGCAAAGCATATATTTTTTAATGTGTCAGGCATGAATCAACCGGGCGGGGAGATTAAGGGGCTAAAGCCCCCTCCCCCCCAACCCCGCCACACACATACACCTCACACACACACCCGACACCCTGACATGTTGATTTGTAGAAAAGTAAAAGCTTTATTTGACTTAAGTTAAATGTAGGTCACTAAATCCCCTTGCATAAGGCTGATAATACAGTTTTATAATATAATATAACATGCATATCTTTCTTTGAAAAAGCAATAACATAATTATTGAAGTAAAACTATTTTATACCAACAACATGTAATCATAAACAGCCATTTCGAAATTTAAATCGCATTAACATATATTTATAATTCATTCTTTACGCGTTAATATAAATTCACTTTTAGAACGAACTTGTACTGAGATACAGTTATTATATCAATACTTTAATAGCATACAGGGATTGGAACATTACAATGCAATTTTAAATTAGAATTTACCAAGGCAAAGTGCCACCTGTCGTTGTGACTCAGTTTTCATTCACAGTTTTCCATGTCTTCTCATCAGTTTGTACAAGGACTGACTAAAAACAGTTCTTAAAGGTCATTATAAGTTTAATAGTATGCTACAGTAAGAGACAACATATAAGAGAGGCAATATCGACTATAAATGTTTAACGCTCCTCAACGAATTTGGTATTTGTTCTTCTGCTACTCCCCCTCTCCCAATATTATAAAGTAGAATTATTCCACTTTTCATAACATACATAATAAACGATTTTGTTTATTTATTTATTTATTAATTAATAATAATAAATAAATAAATAAATAAATAAATAAATAAATAAATAAATAAATAAATAAATAAATAAATAAATAAATAAATAAATAAATAAATTTATTTATTTATTATTATTATTTTTATTATTATTATTATTATTTTATCATTTTTTTATTATCATCATCAGCATCATCATCATCATCATCATCATCATCATTATAATTATTATTATTATTATTATAATTATTATTATTATTATTATTTATTATTATTATTATTATTATTATTATTATTATTATTATTATTATTATTATTATTATTATTATTATTATTATTATTATTATTATTATCTTACAAACTTTTCACAAAAATTCTGTCTTATGTTCCTGAATGAAGTATCTGCATATCTTTTCATTAAAAAAAACAATATTAAAATATCACTGAAGAGTATCAATATCCCAAACCAGGAAATAAACTTTTATTTGAGCCAAACACGTTTTGCATGTTTTCTTCCCATAACCTTTTTATAACCTGTTTACTGGTAGGCGGATTTGCAATGAATGTGGCAATAAAAAACTGTATTGTATATTTGACGCTTTATAAACTTTGTGTTCGTTATGTGTTATGTGTTATAAATGTATTAATTAACAGTCATACAATTGCGGTTAACCAGGCGATACTTGGATGAGAATGCCAAATGCAAATAATTTATCAAACAAAGGGACATATCTTGTTAAAAAAAAAAACACGTATAGATCTATAATATGTAAGACGGGGTGACGTTATAATGTTAAGTTTAAAGCTGCATGCCTCCATATGAGCGAAAAAAATACTTCAAAAAAGTCAAGCTTGAGAAGGTGACTAGGTCTTTAAGATAAGAAATTGTTTGATTTTTGTTGTTGTTGTTGTTTGTTTTTCTTTTCTTTTTTTATAAATAATAAAAATTAACGTACATGTAATGCCAGCATACGCTGCAAAAACATTCAACATGCCATACATCACTGTTCAGTATGAAGAAAATCGGTAAAATGCGGGTATGTTTTAAATTAGCACAAATTGATACATGTACTGACACCGACGTGAAAATTGACAAAACACCATAGACATGTTATTAACAGATTCATGTATGTAAAGCTGTTATCTTAGTGACATAGGCGCAGTCATCTCATTAACTTCCCGCTGATACCGTAATAGTACATATAAATCGACTACAGTTACTTGCACTTAAAGTACTTTACTCTCAGTGTAAACAATATACTAAAACTTAAAGTACTATATTCGCTCTGCAAGTACTATACTGGCATTTATAGTGCTACACTCGCATTTTAAGTACTATTCTTGCACTTATATATTTATACTTTTCTTGACGCGTTATATTTGCACATTTAGTTTTAAACTTGCACTTTAGGTACTGAATACTGTACTCATATTCTAAGTACTATGCTCACGCTTAATGAATTATACTCATACTTTAAGTACTAAGCTCTCACTTTAAGTACTATTTTTATACTTTAAGAACTATAACAATACTTAAAGTAAACCAACTTAACACAAGTAGGATATGATAAGATTATTAATATAACAAATTCGTCAATGTATTACTTTGCAAGTAACGAGGGTAGGGAATTTCAAAAACTATCTGTCTTCTTATGTTCTCATGAATAATAATTTTACGTTGTTGAAATGTCAATATATGCCTGGTGCGCAATGAGGGTTTATTATCATTTATTACAAGTTTACAATAATTATGATACCATTCAGCGCATGGTTGGTCGGAGATTATATTCAGGTGCCCGTTCGTGTCGGTATTTTTTTTTTATTATCATTATTTAAGGAAGTCTTCTCCAAAAGATTGTTTCAGTTCGATGTGATTTTAAATCCAAACCAAAATGTAACAGATTCTTTGAACTATTAAAATGGGATTTGACTTACGCTCGTGAAGGGTGTTTTGAATAGCGTTTTCTTTACAACAATCATACAAATTTTCTATTACGTACAATAATGTTTCCTACAACTCCACAGTTCGAGACACTTAGGTTGACAAAATCAGACTAAAAACTGCATACTCCTATAGTATGTTGTTGTATGTATTCGTCAAAGTTTGATTATAATACAAAAGTCTTAAGAAATTGTTTATATACAGAATAAATAACATCTTGTCTGAATAAATATATCATTTGTTACGCGGATAACGAAACTTGGTTCATTTTCCCCTCATTTATTTTGATATATACGGTGCAATACTATCAATTAATAAAACGATTTATCATCTGTCTAGCGCTCTAACTAGTGCGTTTCGTTTATCTCATATCACTAGTGTTTTGTTGTTGTTGTTTTTTATCCGAAATGTGAGACATTTCCAACGGATTTAAAATGTGAATTAATTTTACTTTGACGACTGTTCATACACCATCTATCAGTTCAAAGCCAAAAAAGGGGCAAATTTATCTGAAACGAACCACAAGTAATTATTTCCAGCTTTTTTTCGATCTAATTTATTTGGCTAAATATGAGGTTTAGATTTTTATTAAGAAGTTGCTTTTCAAGCAAATATTTGAAACTACTAATTTAAAACAAAATCGACTTTAAAAAAGTAAATTAAAAAAAAATGTCTATCTGTCTTTTTTTTTGCGACGAAACAGCGGTTGATATGTCGAATTTGCAATTAAGAGCAATTAATGGATACCATTACCACATAAATGTCCCCGCTGACCAGGGCACTTTCAAACACTTTTGTTTGTGTTATTTGAAGTTCATCCTACTGGTGCTTTTGATTGCAAGCTTATTATATTATTATAATTATAAACACTCGCCATACATAAATTTATGTGATTTTGTTGTATTTATACATTCATTGCATGTACATCTGTATAAGTCTAGAAAATAAAGGTT